CCGGGTGTAGTGGAGGGTTTCCCTGCCCATGGCAGGGGGGTTGGAACTAGATGATCTTTGAGGTCCCTTCCAACCCAAACCATTCTACGATTCTATGATTCTATGTGAAAGAACCTAACTGCAAAGAGCTAAATTTGCAACATAAAATGTACTCATTCTGCTGGGGAAGAGTTATCAAGGCTTTTCTCCAGTCTTCCAGAACAATATATGGCATGGCACTACTTTAGGAAACATCTCTATATTTTACTCTGTTTATTAATTCACACCAGCATGGCCACAGTCATGGTCTGGTACTGAATGCCTGCAAGATTTTAATGATGCACGGTGATTTAAAGTTGGTAACACCTCTTTAGAACTTTAGAACCAAGAAAATGATCAATTCTATGTCAGAAGACTTCTCTAGTCTTTACCATAAAAGAAATAACTTCTGAAAGCTATTCAGAAAATAAAGGGAGGAACTCAGAAAACTAATATAATGTACTTTGTATATTACATAGCTAACGTAATTCATAGCTTTGTGCTCGTTTGTGAGTACTGAAGTTATTTTAAATAAAATAAACAATTTCTCATCGCCATGTACATTTTTTTAACACTTTTATTGTTGAAGTCCATCCTTTTAATCTTCTCTTATAGAAGCAAACAATGCATCGTTTTGAACCACTTAAATGTACTATAGCGACAGCTTTGTTGGAGCAGTGACTGCTGCTATAAATGGCTTTTCCAGAACTTTGTGGGACCCAAACAATACCTGACAAGATATATTTGCTTGCAACATCATGAAGGCATTTATCCCTGTGCTGCATCCACAAGTGGCCTCTCTCCGCTCCACAAAACAACTGAAGGTTTAGCAAGTTACCAGAACTGTAGCCAGTCAGTAGGCATCGCTGGACACAGGGCTGATGGTAGAAATTAGGCAAAATGAATCTAAGCTTTAATCTTCCTGATCCCATATTCTTTCCAGATTTCAGGCACAGCTTTTCCGTACAGAACTCTTCCAAGAGCTGTGCTCAATCCTGCAGCCACCTGTCCAGCGTTGCCCGACGTCTCCTAGAGCATGCCTTGCTTTGGCCTATTATTGCTTCTCTAAGATTACACAATTTTGCTCTTTTTCCTCTTCTAAAACTCTTTTTTCCCCCCATGTTTCACTGACTTTGGCCTTCTATACCCTTTGAATTGTGAAGAAACACATAGGCTACAATTCTTCTTTCCCCTTGCAGTGACTGTCCCATTGTTCCTTTGCCTTTTTCTCTCTTGCTGAAGCTTCTGTATCTTCAAGAATATGCATTAGCCTGCCCACCTCACACCTTACTGTTGTTCTGTGCATTCACTGTACATCTCTTCTTTCCAGTAACCTCCCTGCTTCACTTTTTCTGCCATTATTCTGTGCCTTATGCATGAACCAGCCTCCAGTCCTGGTTCCTCGAAACCCCGTCTTACTCAAATCCACTTCTTTCCCAATTCTTTTAACTGATTTCCAGTAACCTTCCAAACCTCCTCTCACCAAGCAATTGCTCCTTACATAACCATGCTTCATTTAAATTAAGATAATAAATTCTCCTCTCTCCAGTACATAAACAGTGAAGACTTGTAAATGCCACAGAGCCTTAAGGCTTGTAAACTATTAATGTAATAACTGAGTAACTCTAAGACGGATTGAGGCTGCCTACATCTGACAGCAGTAAGAACAAACTTTGAACACAAACAAAGGAAGCACAGAGTAAGTTGATGCAGAACAAAATTTAGGAAAAGATTTACATTGAAAGCCATTCCCCATGAAAGGAAAACCAGAAATTAATTTCACATCTAGCTTCGATAATGATACTTGTTTTAGAGACAAACGGTAAACCAACTGTAAACTCTGAACAAGCCCTGTAGCAGTATGATACATTAAGCATCAGGATGACGATGGTCTCCTTTTCCTCTTTAGCATGGCCAATATTTTTCCTCCTCTCCTTCTGCTCGGGATGTCTTTAGCAGAGACTTGCTAAACTTCACCTCTACTTGTTGACCAATAAAGCCACAATTGCAAAACCTTCCTATGGAGGAAGTTTATAATGGAAGAAAGTAACTTTGAAGTTGGGTGCCTGACAGAAAATCAAGCATGTTTTCCTTAGCATAAAGGCACACACACACCAAAGTTGTTGCCAGTACAGAAAATGCAGCCTAAAGCTGTCGTGCTCTTAAGGTTTTGTAGTGGAAACTTGGGCCCAGGACCGTATTGCTGAGAAAACAGAGCTTTTAAGCAATTCTGTGTGCTGCTAGAGAGGACGATGGCAGAGGAGAGATCATCTGGTGATATCTCCATCAGAAAGTTACAGCAAATGGCTAAGTATCGTTATAAGCACTGGTAAACATATTTCAGCACATTTAATGTATTTCACTCCATAGAATCATAGATTCATAGAATATTTCACTCCATCTTATACTGTGTAAAACGTAGTCACGGAGCAACATCAGAAGGGCTACGTTAACACTGCCTTCTGCACGCTAGCCACAACCTGAGTCTCAACCCAAACTCATCTTTGGCCAGATGTGGGTTTTAGACGAGCACCAAGGCTACCTGTGGCCAGAGAAGAGGTTCAGCCCATGCTACCTTTAATTTTAGTCTCACCTACCTGCATTGACAAGATGGTGTGTGTATACGATGGGACTTTCCAAAGAGTTGCCCATATAGCCTATGAAAACAACTGGCCAGCATCAGGGAAACAAGGTGACCAGGCGCCCTCCTACAGGCACTTTATATGCAAAACTCTGCAAAGTACTGCAGAAGTCGCAGACACCAGAGCTGTAATTTTCTCCAACGCTGCAATGTTTCACTTAGACTATTTCCCCCATTTGTAAACAAGAAAACAAAGCCTGAGTATTTTCCTGCCAGGATGGTGGTACGAGGACTAGTTAACATTTACACACAGCTTTGAAAGGGACAGTACCGGCTGTGAAAAGGACACAGCGCTCTCTGTTTCATGTGATGAGCTCCGGGACAAACACCAAAGCAACACTCATGAGAGGTTCAGCAGTTGCAGAATGTTTTGCACCATCTCTTTGCAACAGTACGTAGTTCAGATCAATATTAGTAATGTCTGAAATGACCTACTTCATCCAATTAGGTTTTTGTTGGAATAAAAAAGTCAATCGTTCTTTAAATATATTTAGCATGCAAAAATGGTAGAAAGCTTGCTGTGCACCAGTTAACCCCACCCTTGTTCCAGGGAGTGCAGCTGGATTCACCTTCTTCACTTCGTTTCACTTCTCGCTCCCTCTGCTTATAATCTGGTTCTCCAAGAATTTTAGTTTTCTGGGACAGACTGCACGAAAGAGAGGAGTAGTAGAAACACTCGCAAATGATATTGGAAAAAGCTTAGGATTATTTCCATTTTTTTTAGTCTCAGCATGGAGATGCCAAAATGGGATGGGTATGTCAGCAGGCTTCAGTCGTCTCTAAAGCGAATTAGTAAATTTTGCAATGAAAAATGGAGGTTAGTAGCTGGATGCATGGTTTATGGCATTCAGTGGGTTGCCATACACTGCAGGACACATCTTTTGAAGTGGATTTTAATCAACTCAAAAGACAATATGGCAACTGGCAGCCTTTTTCTTTATTGAAGCAAAGTCACAGCATTTTCATCACTATTCCCCTCTTGTGAAGGGAAGAGTTAAACGAAGGCCCCTGAAATTTACATTACTAACAAGAAAAGGATTGAAGAAAGAGATTACAAGCATATTTCTCTAAAATAAATAATCTACAAAGAGTGCTTTTTCTTCTTAAAAGCAATCTAAAAATGTATAAATTCTACGGTAGGGAGATCAAAAGATATTTTAACAACTTTCAATATTTACAAACAATACAAAAACTGCGCACGCCATCAAACGATGCAAAATTTTTCTTAAAAATTAAAAGCTTCATTCCTAACAAGAACCAAAAACTCCAGCCAATATTTCAGTTTTAATTAATGGTCTTCTTTACAACTGGAAAACCGTTAAATGTTTTTATTGTCTGTAAAATATACAATAAAAACGAACCTCGCTAAATTATTAAGGTTAAAAAAGAAGAGAAATACTGCAGGCAAATCAAAAAGGAAAGTAACTGTAATCTTTGGTAACCGAAAGTTAGCAAGTATCTGTATTTCAAGTGATGAAAAGTAATAATCTTCCCATTTTGACAAATGGAAGAAAGCCTTCTGGCAAAACACAACTCCCGAGTTTCAATTTCAAAAGAGAGGCTCCACCTACAGCTCTGTAGTGCAAGTTCTCCAAGTCAAATTTTGCTTTCTAATTCAGAAACGTAACCCTTCCAAACTCTGGCAGTACGCTGCTTCATTCCTCTCCCACTTTTCTGCTGTCTGCTCGCATCCTCCGCACACATCCAGTTGTTCCAGTTCTCTGAGGGAATACTCAAGGAAGCAATTCACTTGGAAACGAGTGTTTCACCAAGCGTACGTGCGTGGCTGCACAGCAGCCAGTAGTGTGTTACAAAACTCGGCTCCCTTTTCCACGTTGACTATGTCTTTCATTTTCCCTCAGGGGGAAAAAAAGAAAAAAAAAAAAAAAGTACCCTGGACCAATTCATAACCTGGTGACCTGATTGCTTTAGCCGGACATGCTTCATCGAACACTGGGGCATACCCCAGTAACAAGCCATGCAACCTCAGCACCGACCCTACTACCTTCTCACAGGTGAATGTGCCTCATCCTGCCTCTCCCTCTGCTTAACGAACGCACTACGCTGCACCACCGCGATGCTTTTTGAAGCAAATGTCCAGCTTGTACCACGGGAGCCTTCCCATTCCTCTTTTTCAGGCTCATTCCTAAATTTTGCTTGCACAATTGCAGTCTCAAGAAAAAGAAAAACTTCACACCCCTACAGGCTCTGAGAAAACTCCCCTCCCCCCCCGCCCCAAGAGGACTTCTAAGGCTTTACACAAAAAATTCAACTGTTAACTTTCTTTAAGCCACAGACCACTCATTGGAAGCAAGTCCTCCCCACCCCAGCCCGGCCATGCAGAACTATCATTGCTTCAGCATTTAAACACACACATGCAGTTCATGGAATAAACGCTCAGCAAAGTAAACTTGTCCTGGTCTGGGCTTTCTTCTGGAATCGAGTCCTCTGGCGTTTTCTAGACTAATATCCAATGACTTTTGTCACTGCCTTTTAACTTTCTTCAGCTGAAGGGCTTAGACACTTCCTTGAAGTACCTGGTTGAGTCATTAAGTCTAGATGGGTTGGATCCAGGGCCTCCTTGCAGCCTGCCTCCTCAGCATATGGAAAGTCATTCATGTCCATTTCATCGCTGTTGAACACATCAAGCTGCCTCTCTTGCTGCTCTTCCAAAGTCCTTCGGACCCTGCCCTCCGACTGTTCCACCGCTTCCCCATCTCCTTCACTAATGACGGTCATGGGGCTGCTCTGGATGCGGTTGCGGACATTGTACTTGCTGCTGGCAGCAGAGGGGGGCGTTCGTGACCGGCCGTACCTGGTGCCAGAGAAAGACATGCTCCTTGGCATCAGGCCCTCGCTCTTGGCCCACTCTTCCTGGGCCCGTTTGCTTTTGCTGGGTGAGCAGCTGGCAGGGCTGTCGGAAAGGTCAGGGGAGGCATCCGTCTTTGTCCGGTGGAATCGCGGGTCCGTGTTCTTCAACATCTCTGCCGCGGACATGCGGGAACTGGTGTCACCGCGGCTCCCTTTCTTCAGCAGCAGGGCTTTGAAGTTGTCGTTGCTGGTGCTGCTCTTGCGAACGCTTCTCTGAATGGATCCGGCTTGTTTGAGGGTAGCTAAGGTCGGGGAAGCACCGGTGGGAGTTACGGGGGGCGATGGAGAATGGTTGCGGGTACGGTCGTCTTCAGAATCTTTACGGCCAAGGACTTTCCTTTTGGATCTGAGTTTGAAAAACAAACAAAAAAAAGGACCAAATTAAAAATGAAACTTTTTACTTCCCCTAATTAAACTCAGCTTAGAGACATGACAATGAATTAAGCTAAAGCAGAGAGAGGGATAAGGGTGGAGTAATGTAAATCTAAAGCATGAATTAAGAACACCACCAAAACTGTATAGGCATTAATGCAGGTATTGGAAGAATAAGCTAAGTTTGTTGCTCATTTTCTGCAAATCTGGAACAATGAAACTACTAAAACCAGCAATACTGATGTCTAAAACACTTTAGAGAATTTAGCAAATCAGGTTTTCTGGAGTCAGTATTGAACTGCTAAGACTAATGCATTATAAAGATTATATTCAATGCCATTTATCTGTTAGTTTGGGGATTTGATTAAAAGTATGTCATCCAGAGTAAGTCAGGGGGTTTTGGTTTGGTTTATTTTGTTTTACTACTTCATTTGATGCTCTCTGGAGAATTAGAAGTGTAGTTCAGTGCACTTGCCTTTAGAAAAGGATTTGCAAAGCACTGCGGCTGAAGTTAAGACGAAGTAAAGTGAGCCACATGTAACCATTCTGGATTAAATTATTTTAAAAAAATATCCCCTCCCCAACCAAAAACATTAAATGAATAGTGAAAATTGAGTTTTCCAGCTTCTATTAAGATGCACGGACAAAATTCACAGTTCTGTTGGTGCTCTGTCACTGCAACTCTTTGACTAAATGAAGGAGGGACCCACTGTCTGACATGAAAATCATCTTTCCAAATGAAAGGGTGGAGAGATTTTTAATTTAAATGTAAAGTGCAGGGATAACAAAAAAAAAGAAAAAAAAGAAGAAGAAACGATCATGGAAGTGGGAATAAGTGGAAACTGGACTTCTATTGCCCCATTTTCACACTACTAGAAATCTTAAAGAAACATATTACATGGCTGGTATCTGTAGGAAAGCTGCTTTGCTTCTTTGCAGGCTAAGCAAGAATTAATTCAAAAAGATTGTATAAAGCCTAATTTTAAATATGCTATTTGCAAAAGTTTAAAACAAGTCAGCAGACTTGTTGCAAACGCAAGATTATCCTGCTGTAATTCTGTATTGATTTTCATCAAGCTTGTGTTCAATACAGACCGCTTCCCTTGTAAAGCAGGTTTCTACTTAATGTGATTTTTAGCTGTACTTTCTTAAAAGCCTTGAGATTTTGCCAAGGCAAGCTCAAATGTCTTTATGCATTGCAGCCCACTGAGAAGAAAACAAAGTAGCTGGATCCATCAGCTGAGTAGGTGGCAGCAACAGGCATTGCCATAAACTCTGCCAAGACTTTGGAGCAATCCTGACTCTCTCAAGTGGTGAAGTTTATGCATGTATCACTTACAATACCCCCCCAGAGGCAGCTGTAACAGCTGTTATTTTCAGCTGCTGCTGCCTCCACCTGCCCTTCTGGCAGAAGAATGCAACAGGGACATCTATTCAGCTTGAGGATGAACGGGCACCAGGAGAGAGCACAGGGATAAAACGACGACTTCAGTAGTGGCAAACCTAAGAACCTTAGAATCACAGAATGGTTTGGGTTGGAAAGGACCTCAAAGATCATCTAGTTCCAGCCCCCCCTGCCACGGTGTGTCAGTACCGTAGGCAGCACGTGAATTTGGTGCTTGGACCCTCTGCGAGTCTCTGTGTGAACATTCGTGTGCATTGGTTACAGGGAAAAGATTTCCCTTCGTTAGGGTGTTGGCTGCCTATGGGTATCTTTAAACCCTGCAATGCTGGGGTTGTACTGCTGCCAAAAACCAAATGAAATTCCAAAATGAACGGAAAGCAAAATTCGATTACAAAGATCTGCAGGGAAAGGTTTAGTTATCCTGACTTGATTCA